AGGAGGAAGAGGAGGAGAGGGGGGGGGAAGGGGGATGTGCTTTTTTAAATGTGGTCTTTGCTTCGTCAAAAAATTTTGATAATATGTAACACATAAAAAAATAGACTGAGAAGTGGTCTCACAATTCAAGGCAAAAGAAAACAAGGAGACTACCACATGTTGGAGAGAGAGAGAGAGTACAGAAAATATATATACACATGCATTAAGTATTACTGAACAAAAAAAGTACCCGCATCGTCTCAACATTCTTTTCTTAACTACAAAGAAATCAGTAGCTGCATTACCCTCGAGAAAAAAGATCAGCATAGTTTTTCGATATCCTACATGACAACAAAAACAGATCATATCTTCTGCAGATTCCAGCTACACTTTAGCTGCACTGTGTGAGGGGGTGGGGCAAAAATCTCCGTACTTCTTGCAATAAAAATCCAAAATGTTTACTTTTTCCCCGTTAAAAATTTGCACAAAAAACGAAGCATGCCAGAATAATAATAACAATAATAATAACAATAATAATAATAATACAAAATATGTAATCGATGTGGACTCCAAAGTCAAACAACTGTATCGGCCACAACAATTTCTACAAAAACATGAAATGTCTACATATTACACGTATGTACACAGTTAGTGTTTTCTTCTTCTGGTTTGCTCCGGGTCCCAGTTCCTACCCACGGGAGCCGCACACACCACGAACCGCGGCCCGTCCTACGCGGCCGGCCCGTCCTACGCGGCCGGCCCGTCCTACACTTCACAATGCCTACAACTAAAAATAAAACAAAAACAAAACAAACAAAACAAACAAAACCCCTTCCACTTTTGTAGTGGTGGAAGTATCATCCTTGAGAGTAGAAGAACAAGTTGTAGTAAAAAACAATGACACTCAAATTTGGAACATAAATAAATTACAATTTAAAAAAAAAAAAAAAAAAGAAAATCCCAAATCTTTGTAACCATTCTTGTCATTATCATAACACTGCATTGTAGAAACAAATGTTCCATTAATGAAAGAAGAAAAAAAAAAAAAAAGCAGTTACAAAAACTGAATCTTTTTTGTTTTTTTCTCTTTCTTGCATGGTTTTGAAAAAAAAGAAGTTTTTTTTCCACTTTTAAAACAACGAGGGAGACTTGGAAACAATTCATCGATAGGAGTAGTACCATAAAATAAAAAATTCAACATCGTAAAAGTAAAAATACCACATCCGAAATCTGAAAAGTTATAGCATTTTGCAAAATGAGTCCTGGCGAGCTCATAATGAATAAACAACATATAGCCGATGTAAAGGATTCCCTTTGAGGTATATCTCCTGTGACTGTTTGTCTTTTCCAGTGTGTGTGTGTGTGTGGGTGAGTGTGTGATGTGTGTGTGTACCAGCGTGTGTGTGCATATGTGTGTGAGTACGAGAGTGTGTGTGGTGTGATGTGTGGTGTGTGTGGATGTGTGTGTGTATGTGTGTGTGTGTGTGAGAGTGTGATGTGTGTGTGTGTGTGTGCAAGTGTGTGTGTGAGTGTGTGTGT